TAGAGAGGTGAGGCAGAGAGGTGAGAGCAGAGAGGTGAGGGCAGAGAGGTGAGGCAGAGAGGTGAGGGAGAGAGGTGAGGGCAGAGAGGTGAGGCAGAGAGGTGAGGGCAGAGAGGTGAGGGCAGAGAGAGGTGAGGGCAGAGAGGGAGAGGGTAGAGAGGTGAGGGTAGAGAGGTGAGAGCAGAGAGGTGAGGGCAGAGAGGTGAGGGCAGAGAGGTGAGGGTAGAGAGGTGAGGGCAGAGAGGTGAGAGCAGAGAGGTGAGGGAGAGAGGTGAGGCAGAGAGGTGAGGGCAGAGAGGTGAGGGCAGAGAGGTGAGAGCAGAGAGGTGAGGGCAGAGAGGTGAGGGCAGAGAGGTGAGGCAGAGAGGAGAGAGGTAGAGAGGTGAGGGCAGAGAGGTGAGGGCAGAGAGGTGAGGCAGAGAGGTGAGAGCAGAGAGGTGAGGCAGAGAGGTGAGGGCAGAGAGGTGAGGCAGAGAGGTGAGGCAGAGAGGGAGAGCAGAGAGGTGAGGCAGGAGGAGAGGGAGAGGTGAGGCAGAGAGGTGAGCAGAGAGGGAGAGAGGTGAGGGCAGAGAGGTGAGGCAGAGAGGTGAGAGCAGAGAGGTGAGGGCAGAGAGGTGAGGGCAGAGGTGAGGCAGAGAGGTGAGGGTAGAGAGGTGAGGGCAGAGAGGTGAGAGCAGAGAGGTGAGGGCAGAGAGGTGAGAGCAGAGAGGTGAGGCAGAGAGGTGAGGCAGAGAGGTGAGGGCAGAGAGGTGAGGGCAGAGAGGTGAGGGCAGAGAGGTGAGGGCAGAGAGGTGAGGGCAGAGAGGTGAGGCAGAGTGAGGCAGGTGAGGGTAGAGAGGTGAGGCAGAGGTGAGGGAGGGCAGAGAGGTGAGGGCAGAGAGGTGAGGGCAGAGAGGTGAGGGAGAGAGGTGAGGGCAGAGAGGTGAGGCAGAGAGGTGAGGGCAAGAGGTGAGGGTAGAGAGGTGAGGGCAGAGAGGTGGAGAGAGAGGTGAGGGCAGAGAGGTGAGGCAGAGAGGGAGGTGAGGGCAGAGAGGTGAGAGCAGAGAGGTGAGGGCAGAGAGGTGAGAGCAGAGAGGTGAGGCAGAGAGGTGAGGCAGAGAGGGAGAGAGGTGAGGGCAGAGAGGTGAGAGCAGAGAGGTGAGGGCAGAGAGGTGAGGGCAGAGAGGTGAGGGCAGAGAGGTGAGGGCAGAGAGGTGAGGGCAGAGAGGTGAGGGCAGAGAGGTGAGAGCAGAAGAGGGTGAGGGAGAGAGAGGTGAGGGCAGAGAGGTGAGGGCAGAGAGGTGAGGGCAGAGAGGTGAGGAGCAGAGAGGTGAGGGCAGAGGGTGAGGGCAGAGAGGTGAGGGCAGAGAGGTGAGGGCAGAGAGGTGAGGGCAGAGAGGTGAGAGAGGTGAGGGCAGAGAGGTGGAGGGCAGAGAGGTGAGGGCAGAGAGGTGAGGGCAGAGAGGTGAGGGCAGAGAGGTGAGGGCAGAGAGGTGAGGGCAGAGAGGTGAGGGCAGAGAGGTGAGGGCAGAGAGGGAGAGAGGGGCAGAGAGGTGAGGGCAGAGAGGTGAGGGTAGAGAGGTGAGGGCAGAGAGGTGAGGGCAGAGAGGTGAGGGCAGAGAGGTGAGGGCAGAGAGGTGAGGGCAGAGAGGTGAGGGCAGAGAGGTGAGGGCAGAGAGGTGAGGGGAGAGGTGAGGGCAGAGAGGTGAGGGCAGAGAGGTGAGGGCAGAGAGGAGGGTAGAGAGGTGAGGGCAGAGAGGTGAGGGCAGAGAGGTGAGGGCAGAGAGGTGAGGGCAGAGAGGTGAGGGCAGAGAGGTGAGGGCAGAGAGGTGAGGGCAGAGAGGTGAGGGCAGAGAGGTGAGGGCAGAGAGGGGGAGAGAGAGAGGTGAGGGCAGAGAGGTGAGGGCAGAGAGGTGAGGGCAGAGAGGTGAGGGCAGAGAGGTGAGGGCAGAGAGGTGAGGGCAGAGAGGTGAGGGCAGAGAGGTGGCAGGAGAGAGGTGAGGGCAGAGAGGTGAGGGCAGAGAGGTGAGGGCAGAGAGGTGAGGGCAGAGAGGTGAGGGCAGAGAGGTGAGGGCAGAGAGGTGAGGGAGAGAGGTGAGGGCAGAGAGGTGAGGGCAGAGAGGTGAGGCAGAGAGGTGAGAGAAGAGGGCAGAGAGGTGAGGGCAGAGAGGTGAGGGGAGAGGTGAGGGCAGAGAGGTGAGGGAGAGAGGTGAGGGCAGAGAGGTGAGGGCAGAGAGGTGAGGGGCAGAGAGGTGAGGGCAGAGAGGTGAGGGCAGAGAGGTGAGGGCAGAGAGGTGAGGGCAGAGAGGTGAGGAGAGAGGTGAGGGCAGAGAGGTGAGGGCAGAGAGGTGAGGCAGAGAGGTGAGGGCAGAGAGGTGAGGGCAGAGAGGTGAGGGCAGAGAGGTGAGGGCAGAGAGGTGAGGGCAGAGAGGTGAGGCAGAGAGTGAGGGCAGAGAGGTGAGGGCAGAGAGTGTGGGCAGAGAGGTGAGGGCAGAGAGGTGAGGCAGAGAGGTGAGAGCAGAGAGGTGAGGGCAGAGAGTGAGGGCAGAGAGGTGAGGGCAGAGAGGTGAGGGCAGAGAGGTGAGGGCAGAGAGGTGAGGCAGAGAGGTGAGGGCAGAGAGGTGAGGAGAGAGAGGAGAGTAGGAGAGAGGTGAGGGCAGAGAGGTGAGGGCAGAGAGGTGAGGGCAGAGAGGTGAGGGCAGAGAGGTGAGGGCAGAGAGGTGAGGGCAGAGAGGTGAGGGCAGAGAGGTGAGGGCAGAGAGGTGAGAGCAGAGAGGTGAGGGCAGAGAGAGGGTGAGGAGAGAGGTGAGGGCAGAGAGGTGAGGCAGAGAGGTGAGGGCAGAGAGGTGAGGGCAGAGAGGTGAGGGCAGAGAGGTGAGGGCAGAGAGGTGAGGGCAGAGAGGTGAGGGCAGAGAGGTGAGGGCAGAGAGGTGAGGGCAGAGAGGTAGAGAGGAGAGAGGTGAGGGCAGAGAGGTGAGGGCAGAGAGGTGAGGGCAGAGAGGTGAGGGCAGAGAGGTGAGGCAGAGAGGTGAGGCAGAGAGGTGAGGGCAGAGAGGTGAGGGAGAGAGGGAGGAGGGAGCAGAGAGGTGAGGGCAGAGAGGTGAGGGCAGAGAGGTGAGGGCAGAGAGGTGAGGGCAGAGAGGTGAGGGCAGAGAGGTGAGGGCAGAGAGAGGTGAGGGCAGAGAGGTGAGGGCAGAGAGGTGAGGGAGAGGTGAGGCAGAGAGGTGAGGCAGAGAGGTGAGGGCAGAGAGGTGAGGGCAGAGAGGTGAGGCAGAGAGGTGAGGGCAGAGAGGTGAGGGCAGAGAGGGGGAGAGAGGGCAGAGAGGTGAGGGCAGAGAGGTGAGGGCAGAGAGGTGAGGCAGAGAGGTGAGGGAGAGAGGTGAGGGCAGAGAGGTGAGGCAGAGAGGTGAGGCAGAGAGGTGAGAGCAGAGAGGTGAGGCAGAGAGGTGAGAGCAGAGAGGTGAGAGCAGAGAGGTGGAGAGCAGAGAGGTGAGAGCAGAGAGGTGAGGCAGAGAGGTGAGGGAGAGAGAGGTGAGGCAGAGAGGTGAGGGCAGAGAGGTGAGGAGAGAGGTGAGGGAGAGAGAGGTGAGGGCAGAGAGGTGAGGGCAGAGAGGTGAGGGCAGAGAGGGTAGAGAGGTGAGGGCAGAGAGGTGAGGGCAGAGAGAGGGTAGAGAGGTGAGGGCAGAGAGAGGGTAGAGAGGTGAGGGCAGAGAGGTGAGGGCAGAGAGGTGAGGGTAGAGAGGTGAGGGAGAGAGAGGGTAGAGAGGTGAGGGCAGAGAGGTGAGGGCAGAGAGGTGAGAGCAGAGAGGTGAGAGCAGAGAGGTGAGGGCAGAGAGGTGAGAGCAGAGAGGTGAGAGCAGAGAGGTGAGAGCAGAGAGGTGAGGGCAGAGAGGTGAGGGCAGAGAGGTGAGGGTAGAGAGGTGAGGGCAGAGAGGTGAGGGCAGAGAGGTGAGGGCAGAGAGGTGAGGGCAGAGAGGTGAGGGCAGAGAGGTGAGAGCAGAGAGGCAGAGAGGTGAGGGCAGAGAGGTGAGAGCAGAGAGGTCAGAGAGGTGAGAGCAGAGAGGTGAGAGCAGAGAGGTGAGGATAGAGAGGTCAGCGAGGTGAGAGCAGAGAGGTGAGAGCAGAGAGTTAGGGCAGAGAGGTGAGGGTGAGGAGAGGTGAGGGTAGAGAGGTGAGGGTAGAGAGGTGAGGGTAGAGAGGTCAGAGAGGTGAGAGCAGAGAGGTGAGGGCAGAGAGGTGAGGGCAGAGAGGTGAGGGTAGAGAGGTCAGAGAGGTGAGAGCAGAGAGGTGAGGGCAGAGAGGTGAGGGCAGAGAGGTGAGGGTAGAGAGGTGAGGGTAGAGAGGTGAGGGTAGAGAGGTGAGGGCAGAGAGGTGAGGGCAGAGAGGTGAGGGTAGAGAGGTCAGAGAGGTGAGAGCAGAGAGGTGAGGGCAGAGAGGTGAGAGCAGAGAGGTGAGGGTAGAGAGGTCAGAGAGGTGAGAGCAGAGAGGTGAGGGCAGAGAGGTGAGGGCAGAGAGGTGAGAGCAGGACCGACCAGAGGACCGACCGGAGGACCAAGGACGGACCAGAGGACCGACCAAGGACCGACCAGAGGACCGACCAAGGACCGACCGGAGGACCAAGGACGGACCAGAGGACCAAGGACCGACCAAGGACCGACCAGAGGACCGACCAGAGGACCGACCAGAGGACCAACCGGAGGACCAAGGACCGACCAAGGACGGACCAGAGGACCGACCAGAGGACCAAGGACGGACCAGAGGACCAAGGACCGACCAAGGACCAAGGACCGACCGGAGGACCAAGGACCGACCAAGGACCAAGGACCGACCAGAGGACCGACCAGAGGACCAAGGACCGACCAAGGGCCGACCGGAGGACCGACCAAGGACCAAGGACCGACCGGAGGACCAAAGACCGACCAAGGACCAAGGACCGACCAGAGGACCAACCAAGGACCGACCGGAGGACCAAGGACCGACCAAGGACCGACCAAGGACCAAGGACCGACCAGAGGACCAACCAAGGACCAAGCACCGACCAAGGACCGACTCCGGGACCATGAGACCTCTGGGACTGTGAGACCATGAGAGACCTCTGGGACCATGTGTGGACCATGTGTGTATAGTTTAGGCCGAGTACGGCACATAGACAGTGGTGTCAAACTCAGGGCCCGTGGGCCAAATCCGGCCTGTGGTACATGTTTAAGCAGCCTCTGAACTCATTTTCAATGATTATGATTAACTTTGTCATTACAGTGGCCATGGCATGTTATACCTCATTTTAAAGCTAATTCTGGTTATTTATTCTATATATATTTGAATCCAACATGTAAATATGTGTAAAATAATGTAAAAACAGGACGCCTCTGGTCTGTACGTCTAGGTTTGGCTAATGTGATCACCTTCGCGTACCTGGGCCGTGTGCACATGTCGCTCTACACCATCGGCTGCACCGTCTCCGCCGCCGCCACGCTGCAGATCCCGCAGCTGCTGAAGATGTGCATGGACTTCCTGCTGGCTGAGCTGAACGTGCAGACCTGCGTGTACGTGTGGAACATCGCGGCGGCCTACGGTCTGCGGCCCGTGTGCAACGCCGCACGCAACTTTGTGCTGGAAAACTTTGTCCAGTTCTCGGAGACGCCTCTGTTCAACCAACTCACTCTGGAGCAGATCACGGCCTTCGTTCAGGACGATAACCTGCTCCTGCCGTCGGAGGTCACGGCCTTTCAGGTATGGAGCTAAATCTGTTCTGAGACATTTGTCTTTCCTGGAAACATTACCTCTGAAGGAAACAGACACAGACGACGGCGTTCGGGACTAAACGTCTGGAGAACTCCGTTAGCTGCGCAGCAGGTTTTCATTCCAACCAAGCAGGAGCACACACCAGACTCCACCCATTTCCTCCAACGAATCCAGTCTTAAGTCAAGTCTTCAGGATCCGACTGGACTCACTTGAGGAACTGTGTGGAGTCTGGTGTGTGCTCCTGCTTGGTTGGAATGAAAACCTGCTGCCACTCCAGCCCCTTGAGGACCGAGTTGAAGACCCCTGCTGTAGACCAATGCACTTGAGATTGAACCTTCAGACTGACCACAGTCATCATTATAATGTGTTATGTGCATCCGCCACAAACAGGAAACACAAATACACCTCAGCTCAGTTTTAAAAGGGGACACATTCCCTCAGACAAAGACTCTCTGACCCTACACCACAGAGGACTTCACACTGACTCTCTGTCGCAGTTGGTCATGAAGTGGCTGGACTTCGACGTGTCCCGACAGCCACACGCCGCAGAGCTTCTGTCGCACGTTCGTTTGGAGACGATCCCGGCCTCGGAGCTGGTGAGTCAGATCCAGCCCGTGCCCCGGATGATGCTGGACTCTCAGTGTCATCGCCTGCTGGTCGACGCCATGAACTACCACCTGCTGCCGTATCAACAGAACACGCTGCAGTCGCGCCGCACTCAGGCTCGCGGCAGTCAGTCCACGCTGCTCACCATCGGGGGGCGCCCTTCTCTGACCGAGCGCGCTCTCAGCCGCGAGGTGAGTGTGTCATGTGTCCCGAGTAACTAAGTACGTGACCTTTCTAATGTACAGAGAAAACACAGGCAAATCTGGAAATTCATTCAATATTAATTTATTTTGTACAATTTAAACAATCTGGTCAAGTTCCAAACTGGGAGATCAAGACATTCAGGAAATAAATAAAATTGGATAAACTGGATCTGCTCTAGGAACCATGACTCAAACATAAACCTGTCCTTCTGCAGGTGTTGTGGCGAGACCCTCGTGACGGGACGGCGAGCTGGAGACACCTGACTCAGCTGCCGGCAAAGAGCTTTAACCAGTGCGTGGCGGTGATGGACGGGTTCCTGTACGTGGCCGGCGGCGAGGACCAGAACGACGCACGTAACCAGGCCAAGCACGCCGTCAGCACGCTCAGCAGGTACTGCCTCCGAGCAACACACACTGACCTGAGTACGGTCAGACTGCTCCAGAATGTTCCATTGTGCCGTGAAATGAAAGGACAGAAAGATAATAATCCATCGTCCGTTCACTCTTTGGTCTGATAAAGCCAGGCCAGAAAATAAAATACAAAAACCAACCTGTTCTGACATCGTAGAAATTGTTTAATGGATATTAAACAAAGTTCATTATTGTGTTTAGAAAGTTAGAAACTCTAGTTTTAAAGAACCCTGTGTTTCTCAGGTATGACCCTCGCTTCAACACCTGGCTGCACCTGGCTAGCATGCGCCAGCGCCGTACGCACTTCTCGCTGGCGGCCTCTGGGGGGCGCCTGTTTGCCATCGGCGGCCGTAATGTGGAGGGTCTGTTGGCCACGGCAGAGAGCTACGTGCCCAGCACCAACACGTGGCAGATGAAGTGTCCCATGGACGTGCCGCGCTGCTGCCACGCCAGCTCCACGCTGCCCAACGGAGACGTCCTGGTGAGCGGCGGCTACATCAACTGCGCCTACTCCCGCTCCGTGGCGTGCTACAGACCGGACACGGACACGTGGGTGGAGAGGACCCCCATGGACACGCCCAGAGGCTGGCACTGCTCCGCCACGCTGGGGGGGAAGGTGTACGTGGTGGGGGGCAGTCAGCTGGGGCCCGGCGGCGAGCGAGTGGACGTCCTGTCTGTGGAAGTGTACGAGCCCGAGAGCGGCAGCTGGAGCAGAGCAGCGCCCCTGCTGCTGGGAGTGAGCACTGCAGGTACGAGACACGTCCCAGAAGCTTTTCCTGATTGTCCTGAAAACAACTCATGTTTTAGATATTTACTGTAACCTGCACACGCTGAAAGGAAAACTTAACACCTGGGTCCTGCCTGACTCCGCCCACATGGACATTTGAAAACTAAAAAAGGTGCGGACCAGGGGGGCGTGGTCTGGGCTGTGATTGACAGCTCTTTTCAGTCACAGCCCACATAAACAGACTGTGCAGCTACTGCACTTTTAAAGCAATAGTTTACACCAGAAATTCTCGTTCCCTTTGTTCACAGAGACAGCTGAACCTAACCCATCAGTAAACGTTATGAACTAATGTATGTCAGTACTATGTGATGTCACACTGCACTCCAGAACCAATGAGAGGCCAGGCACCAAATTCTAATGTTGAGAGCGCCAGACGGTTTTAGGCTGAAAATTGAGATTTTATCTTATTTGCACTAAAATGTCCAAAAAAATGACCAGGACATGAGCAAGAAATATTTATGAGTTTGAGTTAAATTAGTTCACTCTTCACAGGTTGTAGTTGCAGCGTTGGTAAAGGCTGAACCAGGTCTTGGCAGAAGCTGTGATTCCAAACTTTCATTGTGTTTGACTAGGACTCAGATAATACTGTAATATTCATTATCGTGTCTCAGGCCTGTCGCCTCTGGCTGAGCAGCTGTATCTTCTCGGCGGATGGAACGAGGCGGAGAAACGGTACAAAGCCGTGGTGCAGAGGTACGACCCGGGCACCGACACCTGGTCCATGAGTGAGGACCTTCCTGAGGCCACGGTGGGGGTCTCCTGCTGCACCCTCAGCATGCCCCCCAGGACCTCCCCCCGCCGCCACCGCAACACGGCCCAGGACCCCAAGACCTCCACAGTCAAGACCCGGAGCCGAGAGGGCAGCCAGACCTCCACACTCATAGCATAAACCAGGTCCAAGAGCAAAGACTGAAAAGATGGAGTCTGCAGACTCCACGTGTTTCCAACGTCACATCCAGTTTTAGACCTGTAAAAGTATTCATGCACTTTGAACTCTTTGGGCAATCACACACTGCTCATTACCCCCAATCCCACTGTCAAATACAGGGGTGGCAGCATCATGCTGTGCAGCTGCTTGTCCCATGTTTGAAATGACATTGAAGATAACTTTACCATCTCCAAGATATTTAGGAAATGTCAGAAATCTCCAAAAGTCGATCTAAACAGAAAACATCTTGAATTAAACCTGAACCGTTTTATATTTAACAGCAGTTAATGACATTTAAATAGTCAAAGTGCTCTGGACAGAGCTCTCGTGGAATAAGTCGATCTCTCGCCATTTAAAAGTCAAGGACCCAGTCTTTAAATAGACTGCAGTGGATTATTGGCCCTGGAGTTTGTCTCGTTGGACTTTAGGTTTTCAGAGTGAGTTCTGCAGGTGTTCATGAAACTGAACTGTTGTGAAGAATAAAAATTGTGCCGTTACCGGGCAGAATGTGTTTCCATGGAGACGCCTTCTCCCATTCAGAATAGATTAGCATCAGATAAGGACAGATTTATACTTAAACTGATCAGCTGCAACCAAAATAGTTTAATGTGAAGCAGCTCAGTGAGAAATATTCTCTAAATAAATCCAAATGACAAGAGTAGAGTTCTGAAAGTGAGCTTTAAAACGAGGTATAACCTTTATCAAGTTTGAAGAGGATTAAAAAAGATTAAATATTTAAAGTTTAAAACTGCCTTTTACTGAAGGAAGTGTCGCTCCGATAGTAAAGGTTTATTTTGAAAGTTAAGCGTTACTTTGAGGAAAAGGTGAAGTGGAAACACTCAAGCTTTAAATGAGTTAAAGTTGGATTTAGAAAAGACGGAGTCTGAGAGTTCAGAGGGTTTCAGGTAAAAACACGACCAATGTCGTTTGGAGCGGTTTTATCTGAGAGAAAATGAAAGGATCCATAAACACTGAAGCTGCAAGAAACACTAGAATCTAACTTTTACAAAATGATTATTTATAGTTTGAAACTGAAAAAGGTGAGTTTTGTGCAGAAATTTAAAAACTTTAAGGAAAAATATTAAAAGCAGAAATTGTGTTTTTAGATCAGAGTAACATTTGTGTTTAAACTTTTGTAAATCTGAGAAAGTATAATGTGGTTTAATTAAGTTAAAAATAAAGAATTTGACCAAAACTGCTTCATCTTTGTCTCACGACACTTTTCACTGAGACTTATTTCTACAAAAGAAAAGAAATTGTACCAAAGTCATTTTCTGTTTTTATTGTTTGTTACAAACAGGAGACTACTTCCCGGGGAGGATGATGCCGTCGTACTGAAACACACAAAACAGTTTCATTAGAAAAAAAATGAAACTTTTTAATGAACCAAGAGTCTGGACCAGATCCATTGATCCGCTCCAGACTCGTTCTTAAACCTCCATCTGGAAGTTTAAAACTAGATCCATTCATAAAAGTTTCAATGTTTTGAGTCCAGAGGAAACAGATCTTTCTGAAGTTTCACAGCCTCAGTGTTTAGTGACGAAAGGAAGTACCTTCTGATCATCGACCTACACGGGGAGAACGTGCAAACTCTACACTAAGGCCTGGAGGTGGAAGTGAACCCAGGATCTTTGCCTCAGTCTTAAATATGCAGCATCCAACTCCTGTGGTTGGTTTACATTTCAAAATAAAACCTGAGCCATAAGAGTCCATATGGTTCTCGGCCCAGAGAAAAGTCTAAACACGTACTTTCTGCTGGAACCAGCGCATGGCCTCCTCTTTGCGGATCCGGTGTTTGAAGCCGATACGGCCTCGTTTCCGCTTCTTGTCGGCGATGCTGAACCCGGGTCGGCCCAAAACCTACAGAATATTAAGATCAAAGCTTAAGATTCTAAACATAAAACGTAAATCTCAGGTTAAATAAAACCTTCATTGATCTGTAGAAGTTCAGGTTTCTAAAAGCAACAAAAAAAACTCTGATCATTCTAAAAATCTAATAAATGTAAGACTTTAAAAGATTTGACGTTTAGGAAAAAGTAGTTTCACCTTTTTATGAAAACTTCAACACATGAAAAGTTGAAGCGGAAACATGACTCAAACCCAGTTCTTTACCATCTGAACATTTAGTCCTCATGAAGTGGGCCATAAACTATTATCCACTTCAGAGATTTACATTTTAAATTAATCCTGAACTGGATTCTGACGTTAAAGTCATTCATTGACCATTACAGCCAATGGTCTGTTGACGATCACCTCCCCAGGTTTACATCAGGTGCGAAGAGGTACAAGCGCATGACAGCGCAGCACTTTGTAGCCAAAGCTCAGGTTTCAGATTCTTTAAGTGTCGCAGGTGTTTACGTCACAGGTCTGTGTCCTACAGACTTAAATACGGTTTTGAAAACTTCACCTACAAAGCGCCGCAGACAAAGTGCTGGGCCAGAGCAACAGTAAAAGGGGAATTAATCTTAAGTTTGGCAACACTTCACACGAAATGGTAAACAGTAAACAAACATTAAGTCTGATCCTTCTGCACTTCTTATTTCCTCTAGTCTTAAATAACTACAGCAGTTTGACTGCACTTAAGACAAACTCAACTTACATGAAGCAGAAATGGAAAAAGGAGATGAACATTGTTATTTCAGGACATGTGGACAAGGATTTGGGCTCAGACACCTGGAGGGACTTCTGTCGGAAGAACATCGTCTGGTTCTTCATAACACCAATACAAAAATCCAAGTTCAGCCCAACTCAAACACATCAGCAGACCACGGACACATGTCCTGGTCCTGCTCAGTCAGCCATTCTGGATAGACTTAGAAAACATAATTGCTAAAACATTTGGATATGGCATCAATAACTCTTTGGTGCTGTATTTGGGATGTTTACCCAACAACATGGCCGCAGATGATTCTGCTGGCATCAGCCAAGAAGTCCATAACTAAAAACTGGTTTCAGAAACATCCACCTGCTGTAAATCTGATCATTTCAATTGTGGAAAATATTAAACTCATGGAGCGGAGGACCTACACTTTGCGACTCCAGGAAGAACTGGGAAAAGGCGCTGGCCTTTATAAACAGTGATAAACAAATGTGAATTGTAGACTCAATGTTTTGTATTATATTGCTAGCCATCCCACAACCTCTGTTTGTGCTTAAAAATTGCAACAAAACAAAAAAAAGGTAAACAGTAACAAACTAAATACACAGCATCAAATGTATATTCTAGTGCAAGAAATAACCATTACTGGTTTGTCATTTGATATAAGCCTAAATGAAACACATTAGATCAAATTGGCTTTTCAATAGAATGATAATATTCGATCGCTGCAGTTTTCTGTGAGAAAGACATTAGTTTCCATTCCCCGTTATAACTAAAGCAGACTCACCACGTAGAAGTCCAGTCCGTAGATCCCGATGCTGGGGTCGTACTTGATTCCCAGATCGATGTGTTCCTGGATCCCAAACCCGAAGTTTCCGGTGTCGGAAAAGTTGTTTTTCCTCAACTCGTACTCACGCACCTGAAATGGAAAGTCCACATCAGAAAACATGCACTCAAGACTAAACGTGTCACAGCTCACCATTTGGATTTAAGCTGGAAAACTTTAAAACTACAACTCAAAACCTTGCTCTGGCAGAAGTTCACATCTTTAGCTTTCAGTGAATAAAACTGGCTTAAAGGAATAGTTCACCGTTTTTACATACTGACATATGTTCTTACCTTAGGCTATATCCACACGAAGACAAAACGCTTATAATTTCAGAAACTTTTTCTGTAAACACGGAGTTAGCTCAGTAAATGTGTGCGTCCATATGAATGTAGTCAATACGCCTGAAAACGCTGTGAAACTATGCCAGACCTGTTGGTGGCGCTGTGACGCAATGACGGGATCAAGCCCAAACTTCCGTGACGGGAACTGGGCATGCGCAGAATGTTGTAAACAGACAACATGGCGAGTGGGCGAGCTGGTACTACATTAGTATGGACGGACGATGAGGTTGAACTGTTGCTTCGGGTCACACTGGATTACAAAACCAACAAGCTACATTGTTGTTGTCATTATTTTCTGAGTGCGGCGCATGCTGCTTTAACAAGAGGCGGGGCGATGACGCGTCTCAGATACATTGCGGAGAGGCAGTAACCACGGAGCGGCATATACGGAGTTTTGAAATCTTTCCACTCTGGGACCTAGTTTCAAAAATGTTCGTTTACACCCCCCCAAAACGCCGGCCTCGTATGGACCATACACTGGATTGATAAAGTATTTTTGCGTTTAGGCCTGAGCTTGACTTCGTGTGGACAGGGCCTCAGACTAGTTAATACGTACCTGTCTGATCTTAGTCCGTGCGCTCTGTCATGCAAACGGAGCAAAATCGGGAGCACAACCGCAGCCTCCTCTGGTCACTGTGTAGGACCAAAAGGTAGCTCCCGCTAGAAGCTACCAAACTCTTCCAAGTGTTCCCTATTAAATGTATATAGTTACGTGACGTGTTACATTTCTGTGTTACTATACTTTGCAGCGTAACTGTCGATTTTCTCAGCGGATAAAACGGGTACTATATTGTGAGGCGTAGTAATCTGAGGAGCGCTACGTCCGCGCACTAACTTCTCTCTCGCTCACTTCCGTCAATAGAAGCAGCGTGACTTGTAATACACACAGTAGTAGCAGAGACTTATCGGATAGCTAGTTTGAGGACAGTTGAGGCAGCATCAAGTTTTCGTGAGAAACTAGCTATCCGATAAGTCTCTGCTACTACCGTGTGTACTACAAGTCACGCTGCTTCTATTGACAGAAGTGAGCGAGAGAGAAGTCTCCGGAGAGAAGTTAGTAACCCTAACCCAAGCGGGAGCTACCTTTTGGTCCTATACAGTATACAGAGGAGGCTGCGTTTGTGCTCCCGTTTTTGCTCCGTTTGCATGACAGAGCGCACGGACTAAGACCAGACAGGTACGTATTAACTAGTCTAAGGTAAGAACATATGTCAGTATGTAAAAACGGTGAACTATTCCTTTAAAGTTGATTAAGTTCATACCTTGAGTCCCTTCTCCAGGATTTCCTCGGCCTTGGCTCCTCGGACGGTGCAGTGAACCGCAATCTTTTCATTTCTGCGGATACCGAAGGATCGCACAGTGTATCGGGCTGAAACAAAGGCAAGTCTGTCAGGAGGGAACTAATGTTTGTTATAAAGCTCTGCTGAACACATACCCTTTGAGAACACGGGGGTCTGTCCTGTGAGCTGCTCCAGCACTTTGGCGGCTCGGGTCAGTCTGTCTCCGCTCTCGCCCACACAAATGTTCAGGCACAGTTTACGGATGCGCAGCTCCTTCATGGGGTTCTCCTTTTTCTCGCCCTGGTCCTAAAGGAAAAAATAATTATATCTGCTGCATTACAAAAAACATAGGACCTTAGAACTCAAGAGTCAATTAAAGTAGCTTACAGCTTAAAACTACTTTACTTTTAATATGAAAAGTCATTTCCTGTATACGTCTCATGAAGATGCTATCAAACTGTGCAACGAACATGACAAGTATACGATGTTCATTGAGGGGTCACATTGATGGTGAATGATAGATATATATTATATATATATATCTATATCTATATCTATACCATCTACACACACACCAACTTGTTCTGCAATTATTTAACTCATTAAAGCAGTGATCAACTCACGACAGCATGTTTTTAAACTACACAAACAGCCCAGACATGTGAAGGAACATGTCAGGGCTGTGCTAGCTCTGCAGCTGCTAATGCTACAGAACAATACAACAGTAACGTTTAAACCAGGGAAAGACACTGTCGCCATCATCTGCAGAAGCCATTTTAACAACAACCAACTGAATTACGGCTAGAACTGTAGGAACCAGGAGGTAGCATTGGTAGCACTGCTCAGAGTAAGTGTAGCCACCATCGGACATGTTCCGACACCAATAATAGTCTGCATCGGTCCTAAAGTCTGTGGTTAATGTTCACGAGCGGCACAAAAGTGAAAATCATGTGTTTCTGCTTCGATGGCGGCGGATTATATCCACGGAATGGACTCAAACACAGTGAATAGTGTGACCCGCTACTCACCGCCATCTTGGATCACTGAAAAAGGACGTGACGCTTCCGGTGACGCGGCTTTATACAGAGGTGCTCACGACAAAGACATCCGACAAACCAAGACGTGCTTCTCGTGCGTTCCGTAAAAGTTAGTAAATAATGTTATTTTTCTAAATATTAAGTTGTACTCTTAATGAGGAACATATTTTACATAATATGAATTATTGTAATTCGATTTTGTCATTTATACTCGCTTTTCTCTTTGATACCACAACAGCACTTTGTCATTGATTGTCAACAGGTGACAAGTTATAAATACTATAAACATTCACTATTGAAAGTGTGTGCTACGACTACAAATATTTTACTTTATATGTGTGTGTTTTTGTTATTTACCTTGTCTTTATGCCTGCTTTATTTAAGATTAAGATATCAGTGTTTTATCATTGTTTACAGAACAATAGCTTAAATGACCTCCTTCTCAAAGGCCCAGATGTCCTGAATAGCATAAGAGCTGTCCTCATCAGGTCCCGGCAAGGTGTTTTTGCTGCCCTTGGTGACATAAAAAAGATGTACAATTCAGTCTGGCTTGAAGACAGAGAAGTTCATCTTCATCGCTTCCTCTGGAGAGACTCTGAGGTGGAAGATATCCAAGAGTATGTCATTACAAGAGTTAATATCGGAGAAAGCCAGCTGGCTGTATCGCTCAAGTTGCAATGCGGGAGACTGCAAACCTTCCAGCATTTTCTCAGTTTCAAGAGGAGCGCAGAGTACTGGAAGAAGACTCCTACGTTGACGACATACTTACCTCTCACAATGACTTCAATCGGCTGCAACAGATTACCACTAAAGTTGAGCAGATTTTAAATGCGGGAGGGTTCTAGCTGAAGCCCTGGGTCTACTCTGGCCAAAGTGGGAGGGAAGATGCCAAGGACCAGGAAGAGCCAGTGTCCAAAACTCTTGTACTTCCAAACCAGCTTTCAGAGGAGGACAATAAGGCACTGGGCATGGGCTACACCCCAATCAATGATGAACTCCACCTCATGGTTTCTGTGAATTTTTCAAAAAGGTAACGGAAAATGAGTTTGCGGACTGATCTGGTGAGAAAGGAAGTGAGAGAGCAAGCTCTGAATCCACTCACTCGAAGGGAGCTCTTAAGTCAAGTCTCTGGACTGTATGATCCCCTTGGGCTTGTGACGCCTGTAAAGCAGAAGGGAGCAATTCTCGTACGAAGAGCCTTCCAGGAATCAAAAGGCAAAGGCAACCAAGCAGCAGATACCTGGAATACTGCTTTGTCCGAAGGTCTTCGGGAAGATGCGATTTGCCTCCTTGAGGACTATTCTGAACTTGCCAAACTCAAGTTCCCCAGGGCATTGACACCCCCAAGTCAAACAGCTGCACCCTATGGTGTTACATTCTTCGATGGCAGCGAGCATTCATACGGAGCGGTGCTGTATCTGAGGTGGGATGATGGTGAAGATGTTATCATTCGTCTGGTTGACTCCAAAGCCAAGCTTACACCGTTAGACCACAAGGGAGATGCTGTGAAAGCTGAGGTTTGTGGAGCGGTCTTTGCTGCAAGATTAAAGAAGTGCTTCCAAAAATGCTGCCGAATCCACGTTGAGAAGTGGTATCACCTGGTTGACAGCCAGACAGTCGTAGGAGCAATCCAGCGGGAGTGTTATGGATACCAGACATTTTTTGCAAACCGAATTGGAGAAATCCAGAGCTGCACAAGCGTCCAGGATCGGTGGTGGATCCCTGGACCACTAAATGTTGCAGACATCATTTCAAGGGGAGCTGGGCCAAAGGAGTTGGCTCAAGACTCAGAATGGCAGGTGGGCCCAAAGTTCTTATATCTTCCAGAGAGTGAGTGGCCCATAAAGTCTGCGAAGGACGTTGCTGCAGCTGCTAGAGCAAATATTATCAAGCTGCAAAAGAAGGCATTCGCTGCCGCACTCACTCGTGCAAAAGCCAAGATTGAGCCAAGAACAATCACTAGCCCAGTCCAGACAAATCCACACCGACCGCCAGCTGGTGCTGCAGTAAAAGCACTTGTGGATGTCACAAGGTTCAGTGATCTGAGAAGACTAGTGAGAGGGATTGTGATTGTCTGGCGAGCAGCAAAAAAGTTCCTTCAAGGCAAGGCCATAGGAAGACCACAGTGGGAGGCAGTCCTGTTAACTGGGATCCCTTCACCTTCTGAGAGAGAAGATGGCTTCCAAGACCTCTGTCTAGCAGCTCAAGAGGGAGTGAGCTTCCCCAATACCACTCTGGAACGGCTTGTTGTGTACAAAGGTGGAGCTAGTGGATTAATCATGTGTGGAGGCCGAATACAGCATTTTAAGGAAGATCATTCCGGCAATCCACGGATGTCTGCAGACTCCTGGCTAGGCATTCTTTTAGCGTGGCAAAGGAGGGGCATGAAGGAGCTGCTGGAACTTTGCTGAGGATGAGGAAGAAGGCTTGGGTTGTGAAAGGAAGGAACATTTTAAATGGACTTAGTAAATTCCTCTGCATATCCTCAGGTTGCGGGTACAACCCCCTTTCAGCGTGGGGGGAATCCACCAAATTAAGGAAAACGCTTGACAGTAAAAATAAGGAATTTCATCATAATTAAATGAAATATTATTTTATAAGTGTTTATATTCACCATAACATTCGTTTTAGAGGATAGTAGTTTTTAGAAAACATTTCAAAAATGTATTTTCAGCCAACTTTAGTTGGAACAACATGGAAAACATGGACTGCGTTTAAAACTCTAAAACCCTGACCAAGTTCAGCTTTAAACTAATCATTGTCAAATTGTGTGTAAAGTAAATGTCAGGACTGTTTGACTGGAGTCACTTTGTCTCTTCTGTTTGATGTAATGTTTAAATGTATGATATTCCTTTTTAAACCTTGTGGTTGGGATTAATGTGCAGCTTGTAAATAGAATAAATCTGTGTAAATAGAATAAATCTGTGTAAATATAATAAATCTGTGTAAATATAATAAATCTGTGTATATTTCCACAACCGTGGATTTCACAGGTTTTATGTGTTTTATTGAAAACAACACTTCCAATGATGTCCAGGGCACAACAACAGAAACACTTATTATTGTTGTGTGTGTATTGACATATTTAACTGATTAGTTAAAAAGCTCATTATGGACCTTTCACAAAGCGCTCAAACTGCAACAACACCAGACATCATTTTATTTGTAAATGTTTTTATTTTTATCGTTTTACAGTCACACTCTCCCTAAACCACAGCAGCCCTCCTTTCCTCCTGAAGCTTTTACGATGGGTTTTGATCAGCATTAGCCAGTCCTTGAGTAGAGAGCTGGGGCTCAGAGAAGTGGGTGCTGGGTGCAGAGGACAGAAGACGTTTTGTGGAGCGTCCGGCCTCACGGTTCATTTCTTCTTGTCGGCTTTTTGTGCAGACTTGGTCACTTTACCGGAGGACGGAGCCTTCTTCTCCACAGACTTGATCACACCCACAGCCACCGTCTGCCTCATGTCCCGGACGGCAAAACGACCTGAGGGAAGGAACGTGTTAATCTCAAGACTGGGTAATATCATAATCAGTATTCAAGCTTTAAGCCTGGGTCTATAGCATGAAGCCTGGGTCTATAGCATGAAGCCTGGGTCTATAGCATGAAGCCTGGGTCTATAGCTTTAAGCCTGGGTCTATAGCATGAAGCCTGGGTCTATAGCATGAAGCCTGGGTCTATAGCATGAAGCCTGGGTCTATAGCATTAAGCCTGGGTCTATAGCATTAAGCCTGGGTCTATAGCATTAAGCCTGGGTCTATAGCATGAAGCCTGGGTCTATAGCATTTAGCCTGGGTCTATAGCTTTAAGCCTGGGTCTATAGCATTAAGCCTGGGTCTATAGCATGAAGCCTGGGTCTATAGCATTTAGCCTGGGTCTATAGCTTTAAGCCTGGGTCTATAGCATGAAGCCTGGGTCTATAGCATTAAGCCTGGGTCTATAGCTTTAAGCCTGGGTCTATAGCATGAAGCCTGGGTCTATAGCATGAAGCCTGGGTCTATAGCATGAAGCCTGGGTCTATAGCATGAAGCCTGGGTCTATAGCATGAAGCCTGGGTCTATAGCATGAAGCCTGGGTCTATAGCTTTAAGCCTGGGTCTATAGCTTTAAGCCTGGGTCTATAGCATTAAGCCTGGGTCTATAGCATTAAGCCTGGGTCTATAGCTTTAAGCCTGGGTCTATAGCATGAAGCCTGGGTCTATAGCTTTAAGCCTGGGTCTATAGCTTTAAGCCTGGGTCTATAGCATGAAGCCTGGGTCTATAGCATGAAGCCTGGGTCTATAGCATGAAGCCTGGGTCTATAGCATGAAGCCTGGGTCTATAGCATTTAGCCTGGGTCTATAGCTTTAAGCCTGGGTCTATAGCATTAAGCCTGGGTCTATAGCTTTAAGCCTGGGTCTATAGCATGAAGCCTGGGTCTATAGCATTAAGCCTGGGTCTATAGCTTTAAGCCTGGGTCTATAGCATGAAGCCTGGGTCTATAGCATTTAGCCTGGGTCTATAGCTTTAAGCCTGGGTCTATAGCATTAAGCCTGGGTCTATAGCATGAAGCCTGGGTCTATAGCTTTAAGCCTGGGTCTATAGCATTAAGCCTGGGTCTATAGCATGAAGCCTGGGTCTATAGCTTTAAGCCTGGGTCTATAGCATGAAGCCTGGGTCTATAGCATTAAGCCTGGGTCTATAGCTTTAAGCCTGGGTCTATAGCATGAAGCCTGGGTCTATAGCATTTAGCCTGGGTCTATAGCTTTAAGCCTGGGTCTATAGCTTTAAGCCTGGGTCTATAGCTTTAAGCCTGGGTCTATAGCATGAAGCCTGGGTCTATAGCATTAAGCCTGGGTCTATAGCTTTAAGCCTGGGTCTATAGCATGAAGCCTGGGTCTATAGCATGAAGCCTGGGTCTATAGCATGAAGCCTGGGTCTATAGCATGAAGCCTGGGTCTATAGCATGAAGCCTGGGTCTATAGCATTTAGCCTGGGTCTATAGCTTTAAGCCTGGGTCTATAGCATTAAGCCTGGGTCTATAGCATGAAGCCTGGGTCTATAGCATTTAGCCTGGGTCTATAGCTTTAAGCCTGGGTCTATAGCATGAAGCCTGGGTCTATAGCATTAAGCCTGGGTCTATAGCTTTAAGCCTGGGTCTATAGCATGAAGCCTGGGTCTATAGCATGAAGCCTGGGTCTATAGCATGAAGCCTGGGTCTATAGCATGAAGCCTGGGTCTATAGCATGAAGCCTGGGTCTATAGCATGAAGCCTGGGTCTATAGCTTAAGCCTGGGTCTATACTTTAAGCCTGGGTCTATAGCATGAAGCCTGGGTCTATAGCTTTAAGCCTGGGTCTATAGCTTTAAGCCTGGGTCTATAGCATTTAGCCTGGGTCTATAGCTTTAAGCCTGGGTCTATAGCTTTAAGCCTGGGTCTATAGCTTTAAGCCTGGGTCTATAGCTTTAAGCCTGGGTCTATAGCATGAAGCCTGGGTCTATAGCTTTAAGCCTGGGTCTATAGCATTAAGCCTGGGTCTATAGCATTTAGCCTGGGTCTATAGTTTTAAGCCTGGGTCTATAGCTTTAAGCCTGGGTCTATAGCATGAAGCCTGGGTCTATAGCATGAAGCCTGGGTCTATAGCATTAAGCCTGGGTCTATAGCATTAAGGCTGGGTCTATAGCATGAAGCCTGGGTCTATAGCTTTAAGCCTGGGTCTATAGCTTTAAGCCTGGGTCTATAGCATTTAGCCTGGGTCTATAACATTTAGCCTGGGTCTATAGCTTTAAGCCTGGGTCTATAGCATGAAGCCTGGGTCTATAGCATTTAGCCTGGGTCTATAGCATTTAGCCTGGGTCTATAGCTTTAAGCCTGGGTCTATAGCATTTAGCCTGGGTCTATAGCATTAAGCCTGGGTCTATAGCATTAAGCCTGGGTCTATAGCTTTAAGCCTGGGTCTATAGCATGAAGCCTGGGTCTATAGTTTTAAGCCTGGGTCTATAGCATTAAGCCTGGGTCTATAGCTTTAAGCCTGGGTCTATAGCTTTAAGCCTGGGTCTATAGCATTTAGCCTTGGTCTATAGCTTTAAGCCTGGGTCTATAGCTTTAAGCCTGGGTGTTGCTGATTGGCTGAACAGACGTCTGGCTTCATCATTCTGAGACTCATTTATTTCTATTTTATGACTTATTATTGCATCCTTTTCTAATGCAAAGTCCTAGTTTGTGACTTCCAGCTCCTCCAACGTAGACGAGAAAGTTTGATGCCTTTAAGTAGGGGCTGGGACTAAACACTTAGATCGACTCGTGACTAAAGTTGAAGCCACAGACTTATTATTACTTTGCATCGTGAATTCCTAGTTTGTGACTTTCTCGTCCAATGTTGATAAACTCCTGATCCTTCAGCAAGAGCCCGGGCTGCTGTGTTCAGAGACACTCACCCAGAGGAGGGTACTGGGAGAAGCTCTCCACACACATGGGTTTCCCCGGGACCATGGTGATGATGGCGGCGTCTCCAGACTTCAGAGCTTTGGGGTTTTCCTCCAGCTTCTTTCCAGAACGACGGTCGATCTTCTCCTTGAGCTCGCTGAACTTACAGGCGATGTGAGCCGTGTGGCAGTCCAGCACCGGAGCGTACCCCTGGGAGATCTGCCCGGGATGGTTCAGGATAATGACCTGCAGAGGACAAACAAGAAACAAGACATTTAAATAATTTTAAGTGTTAAATAACTTTAACATTGACTTTGTTCCCTCGTCCAGTCCCATTTGTTCTATATCAGGAACTTTCTCAGATTAAATTATATTCTTTATAACCGCATGGCTGCGTTTGCAGCCGTGCACAGCACATTTTTTCCCAAAATTTGGATTTTGAGAAAAACTGTGGTGGTCTCAAAGGGAGGAAGAGGCAGAGAGTATTTTTGTGTCTTTGTCATTTGGAGGTGAGAGTACAGACTTCATTCTGTCTGAAAACATTTGTGGCAGATGGTTCTGTGATCTGAACAAAAACCTGAGCAGTGAAGTTCTCGGCTCCCAGCGGGGGGTCGTTCTTGCTGTCTCCCGCCACGTTCCCACGGCGGATTTCCTTCACGGACACGTTCTTGATGTTGAAGCCGACGTTGTCTCCGGGCAGAGCCTCAGTCAGAGACTCGTGATGCATCTCCACAGACTTCACCTCCGTGGTCAGGTTAGGAGGGGCGAAGGTCACCACCGTGCCGGGCTTCAGGACGCCAGTCTCCACACGGCCCACGGGGACTGTGCCGATACCTGAGACAAGGATCAACCTTTAGGCGCCAAAGGAAGTGAACCATGAGCCTGTAGTTCTAACGAAGGCTCAAAGGACTTCCCTGAGTCTAAACTCATCACTTTCACCTTGTTCTACTGTCACTGCATTTGTAGATAGTAATAATAATATAATAATAATAATAATAATAACAATAACAACAATAATAATAATAATAATAATAATAATAATAACAGTAATAATAATAACAATAATAATAATAATAATAACATCCATCCATGTTCTTCCCTTTAATCCATTTCTGGGTCAGGGGGGTGGCAGTCAGAGATGCCACCCAAGTCTCATAGCACCAGCCCCTCACTGACCCTCTGCAGGTGGTGAGTCCACAGGAGGCTGCTCTCTGACTGTGAGCATAGCCTTGATCTTTCAGTGGGGGCTTTGGGCTTTGGGCATTGAGACTCCGATGTGCAGTGAAAAGGCGGTATATAAATAAAAGCTTACTTACTTACTTACTTACTTACTATTGCATTGTGGGTCTCTTACCGCCGATTTTGTAGACGTCCTGCAGGGGGAGCCGGAGAGGCTTGTCTGTGGGGCGGGAGGGGGGCATGATGGAGTCCAGAGCCTCCAGCAGCGTGATCCCAGTGGCTCCGCCCTCTTTACGCTCGATCTTCCAACCTTTGAACCAGGCCATCTGAGACAGAGCAGCGAGACATCAGAACCACTGTCACAGGGTAGGAGTTTATCATCAGTATGTATATGTATATATCACTGATATATACATATACATATAGATACTAGATACTAGATATAGATATATACAGTATACATATACAGGTATAGATACTCTGGTAACAGTATCTACAAAAAACAGTTTAGATTGTTCATTTGTACAGAGACTGAAATACTTGTAGCTAGTTTGACGGTGTTGTAACAGTGGCCTTCAGACTGTCACTGGATCTGACCCAGGTCTAAAACAGGACAGAACTAAATTAGAACTGAACTCAGTCTGAACAGAACGACAGTGTCTCTCAGTCGCAATTTCAATCCTACAAAAGATGAAAATCAAAGGAACCAGTGGTAGGCGCTATATAAATAAACATACTTACGCCATGCGACTGAAACGGTCTTTTTCACTTTTCTGATTTAAAGACAAACGTGAAACGAGTCTGTTTTAAAACCAAGGAAACGGTTCATTCCTGTGACTTCTGGTACCGTATCCCAACAAAACAGTCTCCAGGGAAATTCCTTGGTAACCATGGCTTCCAGCAGCACTCTATGTCAGTTAGAACATATTAGAACCAGCTCAGACAGAACCAGGACCAAGCAGGTTCTAAAGAAGAACTTGGTACCAGTATATATATATATATATACAATAGCAGACGTTGAGGACAGTTACAAGTATCTCGGTATACCACAGGCAAATGGCAACCTCGAACAGGTGACGAGGAAAGCGGCAACTGCCAAATACCTCCAGCGAGTAAGGCAGGTCCTAAGAAGCCGGCTCAATGGCAAGAACAAGGCCCGGGCAATTAACAGCTACGCCCTGCCAGTGATCAGATACCCTGCAGGAATAATCAGGTGGCCAAAGGAAGAGATTCAGACCACGGATGTTAAAACTCGAAAGCTCCTTACCATGCATGGCGGGTTCCATCCCAAATCCAGCACCCTGAGACTGTACGTAAGCCGTAAAGAAGGAGGCCGAGGACTAGTGAGTGTGAGAGCCACTGTCCAGGACGAAACATCCAAACTCCATAACTACATCATGGAGAAGGCCAAAACGGATGACGTACTCAGTGAATGTCTCAGGCAGTGGCGAGATGAGGAGGTGCTGGAGGAGAGCCCATCATGGGAGAACAAGCCCCTACACGGCATGTACCACCGGAGCATAACAGAAGTGGCTGATCTCAAGAAGTCCTACCAATGGCTAGAAAGGGCTGGCCTACAGGACAGCACAGAGGCACTCATCATGGCTGCACAGGAACAGGCCCTGAGCACCAGAGCGATAGAGGCCCAGATATACCACACCAGACAAGACCCAAGGTGTCGGTTGTGCAAAGAGGCACCTGAGACGATCCAACACATAACTGCAGGGTGCAAGATGCTGCAGGGAAGGCCTACATGGAACGCCATAACCAAGTGGCTGGCATAGTGTACAGAAACATCTGTGCAGAGTATGGGCTGGAAACCCCAAGGTCTAAGAAACTCCTCCAAAGGTGGTGGAGAATGAGCAAAGATCCTGTGGGACTTCCAGATACAGACCGACCGAATGGTAATGAACCAACCTGACATCGTGGTGGTGGACAAAGGGCAGAGGACAGCCGTGGTGGTGGACAAAGGGCAGAGGACAGCCGTGGTGGTGGACAAAGGGCAGAGGACAGCCGTGGTGGTAGACAAAGGGCAGAGGACAGCCGTGGTGGTGGACAAAGGGCAGAGGACAGCCGTGGTGGTGGACAAAGGGCAGAGGACAGCCGTGGTGGTGGACAAAGGGCAGAGGACAGCCGTGGTGGTAGACAAAGGGCAGAGGACAGCCGTGGTGGTGGACAAAGGGCAGAGGACAGCCATGGTGGTGGACAAAGGGCAGAGGACAGCCGTGGTGGTGGACAAAGGACAGAGGACAGCCGTGGTGTTGGACAAAGGGCAGAGGACAGCCGTGGTGGTGGACAAAGGGCAGAGGACAGCCGTGGTGGTGGACAAAGGGCAGAGGACAGCCGTGGTGGTAGACAAAGGGCAGAGGACAGCCGTGGTGGTGGACAAACGACAGAGGACAGCCGTGGTGGTGGACAAAGGGCAGAGGACAGCCGTGGTGGTGGACAAAGGGCAGAGGACAGCCGTGGTGGTGGACAAAGGGCAGAGGACAGCCGTGGTGGTGGACAAAGGGCAGAGGACAGCCGTGGTGGTAGACAAAGGACAGAGGACAGCCGTGGTGGTGGACAAAGGGCAGAGGACAGCCGTGGTGGTGGACGTGGCAATTCCAAGCGATGGTAACATCCGGAAAAAAGAACATGAAAAGCTTGAGAAATACCAAGGTCTCAGAGAGGAGCTGGAGAGGGCCTGGAGGGTAAAGGTCACAGTAGTGAGAGGGCCTGGAGGGTAAAGGTCACAGTAGTGAGAGGGCCTGGAGGGTAAAGGTCACAGTTGTGCCCGTGGTGATCGGTGCACTCGGGGCAGTGACCCCGAAGCTAGAAGAGGTTACAGCGGATCCCTGGAACAACCTCGGACATCTGGGTCCAGAAATGTGCAGTGCTAGGAACAGCAAAGATACTGAACCCTCAGGCTCCCAGGCCTCTGGTAGAGGACCCGAGCTTAGAGAGGGATAACCGCCCGCCGAGGGCCAAAGGTGAGTGGACAATTTTTTTTTTAATATATATATATATATATATATATATATATATATATATATATATATATATATATATATATATATATATATATATATATATATATATATATATATATATATATATATATATATATATATATATATATATATATATATATATATAGTTAGAGAGTGTAAAGTTAGGTGTGTAAAGTTAGAGTGTGTAAAGTTAGATATATGTAAAGTTAGAGAGTGTAAAGTTAGAGTGTGTAAAGTTAGAGTGTGTAAAGTTGAGAGTGTAAAGTTAGAGAGTGTAAAGTTAGAGAGTGTAAAGTTAGAGAGTGTAAAGTTAGAGAGTGTAAAGTTAGAGTGTGTAAAGTTAGAGAGTGTTTTGTATATTCTAAAGTATTTCTCCGTAGCCAGGGACTGTGAAGCTTAAAGTCTCTGTAAACTGTCTCTTCATTAAAGATGAAACATGGGTTGTATACATCGTCTGAGTTGAAAGTTAGGTACCCGAGCTTTAATCCCCTCCCACACTCACCTTGTCACTGGCCTCCAGCATGTTGTCTCCGTGCCACCCGGAGATGGGCACGAAGGCCACGGTGGCGGGGTTGTAGCCGATCTTCTTGATGTAGGTGCTGACTTCTTTGGTGATTTCCTCGAAGCGTTTCTGGCTGTACGGCGGCTCGGTGGAATCCATCTTGTTCACGCCAACGATGAGCTGCTTGACGCCCAGAGTGTAGGCGAGCAGGGCGTGCTCACGGGTCTGTCCGTTCTTAGAGATTCCAGCTTCAAACTCTCCAACACCAGCAGCGACGATGAGCACGGCACAGTCAGCCTGAGGACACACAGCTCCAGGTTTAGGCACATGTTTGGCCAATACTGACTGCTGCCTTCCACAACGGATAAAGCGGAAGAAAAAGGATGGACAAGAAAGGTATTTAGACCTATCAATCTTCAAACTGTCAGAAACTTTTCCAAAAACACACCTTCCAAACCTTTGAGTGAAGCCTGGAAAGCGGATTTACATTTTCCAGGTTTTCCATAAAGACCGTTTTCCCGAGCCTCTATCAGACTAACTCTAACTGTAATACATTAAAATGAGTAAATGGCAGAATCCACATAGTTCTTTGATGTCACAATCTCCTAAATGTTTGAGTTTTTAACCATGTTACAAATACAGTGTTTTAGGACTCATTCTGTCTCTGTCCTTTACAGTGATTGTAGCACACACATTTAAAACTAATGTATTGTCCATAAAGTGGTGAGAGCGTCCCTTTGATAGAGCAGCTGAGACACAGGGCTTTACCTGAGAAGTCCCAGTGATCATGTTCTTGATGAAGTCCCTGTGTCCAGGAGCATCGATGATGGTCACGTAGTACTTGCCGGTCTCAAACTTCCACAGAGCGATGTCGATGGTGATTCCACGCTCACGCTCAGCCTTCAGCTTGTCCAGCACCCAGGCATATTTGAAAGAGCCCTTGCCCATCTAAAGATAAATAATACATATTTATTGTGTTAAAGCTACAGATTTCATACCTGCTTCTTTACTATGTTAAAGTTTGTTGTAATGTTTTAAAATAGAGTGATTGTTCATGTGTGTCTTGTGTACTCTGCTGTTCTGTAACTAGAGACGCAACACTGAAATGTCACCTTTATGGGACGTGTAAAGTAACTTTTGTATTTGAAATAATGCGAACTGTATTGCAATATGGTTTAACTTATAACACTTTTATACATGTAGAAACAGGGATAGTCGTAGTTTGCACTGTTTTATATACTTGTCCTTCCCTGGTTTGACCACTAGATGGCGCTCTATGACCGCATCATGCAGCGCTACACCCGGCCCGGTCCGTACCTCTGCCGCCTCCTTCTCGAACTTCTCGATGGTTCTCTTGTCGATGCCTCCGCACTTGTAGATCAGGTGACCGGTGGTGGTGGACTTCCCAGAGTCCACGTGACCGATCACCACGATGTTAATGTGGATCTTCTCCTTTCCCATTGTGCTCCAACTGCTGCTCCACAGAACAGTGTCATCAGGTCCAGAAGGAACAACAAAGTCTTCAAGTCATGCCAACTCCTGAACCTGATCATAATCAGCTCAGATTTATTCTGCAGTCACGTGCTTTTCTCAAAACCAGTCAGTGGTGTCTATGGGTCCTGTGTCAGTGGGAGCCGTGTCTGGAGTCAGTGGGTCCTGTGTCAGTGGGAGCCGTGTCTGGAGTCAGTGGGAGATGTCTGTTGCAATGTGGCGTCAGGATGCTGCTGCTGTGTCACAGCCACGTGCTCCAAACCGGCTCCATGTTAGGGTCGGGAGCGCGCACGGGCGCCATGTTACTGCAGGCGCGCTCCCGCTCAGACAGTGCACGCTCATCAACAGTGATTGGCAGAATAAAGTTTTTAGCGACTGTCTACATTAGCGCATAACAACCAAACACCAAACATGCAGCAGATGTAGCTAACCTGTTAGCAGCAACAAGATCACCAAGTTTAAGCAGAAGGGACAAAAAAGGACAGAGGGCGTCCAGTCGTGGGTTTATATACCAGGAAGGTGGGCAGCTGTCAAGACTAAAAATAAGAAACCAATGGTGGGAGAAGACTTCAGCCATTGGAGCAGAGCGTGGTCACAGCAGCTGCTGCTCCAGAGCAGGGCCAGAGGAAGAGTGAGGCGCAGGACAACAGTTCCATTTTTTAAAGGTTTTAATTTTATTAGTTACCAGCAGCTTTATTCCAATCAAATGTTGCATTTAAACATTAAGAGTTCTAAACCATTTCCAACTTAAACTTAAACCGAAGAGGCACCCGCCTTAGATTAAATGAATGCTGCAGTGCTTTTTCCTGCGAAAACTTTTACGATGAGTTTTAATCAGCATAAGCCAGTCCTTAAGTTGAGAGCTCAGAGAAGATGGTCCAAGAGAAAGGTGGATGTGAGGGGAGTGGGCGGCCCGCTGGCGGCACATGACTCCCATTTGGACGTCCTGCACGACCATTCATTTCTTCTTCTGGGCTTTTTCGGCAGCCTTGGTGACTTTGCCACTTGTAGCTTCCTTTGGAGTAACCGACTTGACGACGCCGACGGCCACGGTCTGCCTCATGTCACGCACAGCGAAACGACCTGCAACAAGGTAAAGGTCAGACACACGCCACTGCAGACGTTCAGAACGTTTAGGGCCGAGTCTTACCGAGGGGAGGATAGTTTGAGAAGGACTCTACGACCATGGGCTTCTGTGGGATCATCTTAACAATGGCGGCGTCTCCAGTTTTCACAAATTTAGGGTTGTCCTCCATCTTCTTTCCAGAACGGCGGTCGATCTTCTCGACCAGCTCGCTGAACTTGCAGGCAATGTGAGCTGTGTGGCAATCCAGGACTGGAGCGTACCCGGCGCTGATCTGACCGGGGTGGTTCAGGACGATGACCTGGAAAATAATGAAGGATTTAGAAACATGTAGAAAAGACCAATGAGTTTATGACAAATGTAACAAACCTGAGCGTTGAAGTTCTCTGCGGCCTTGGGAGGGTCGTTCTTGCTGTCACCAGCAACGTTTCCACGGCGGATTTCCTTCACGGACACGTTCTTTACGTTGAAGCCAACGTTGTCTCCGGGCACAGCTTCAGGCAGAGACTCATGGTGCATCTCCACAGACTTGACCTCAGTGGTCAGGTTAGGAGGAGCGAAGGTCACCACCGTGCCGGGCTTCAGGACGCCAGTCTCCACACGACCCACAGGGACTGTGCCGATACCTGAGATACCAACATTGTTAGAATCTAACCAAGAACTAAAGTAATGCCACATCAGCAACAATCATACCTCCGATTTTGTAGACATCCTGCAGGGGCAGACGGAGGGGCTTGTCGGTGGGACGAGAAGGCGGCTGGATGGCGTCCAGAGCCTCCAGGAGTGTGGTGCCGCTAGCACCACCATCTTTACGCTCGATCTTCCATCCCTTAAACCACGTCATCTTCTCACTCTTCTCCAACATGTTGTCTCCGTGCCACCCAGAGATGGGCACGAAGGCCACGGTGGCGGGGTTGTAGCCGATCTTCTTGATGTAGGCGCTGACTTCTTTGGTGATTTCGTCGTAACGGGCCTGGCTGTACGGGGGCTCAGTGGAGTCCATTTTGTTGATTCCAACGATGAGCTGCTTGACGCCCAGGGTGAAGGCGAGCAGGGCGTGCTCACGGGTCTGTCCGTTCTTAGAGATTCCAGCTTCAAACTCTCCAACACCAGCAGCGACGATGAGCACGGCACAGTCAGCCTGAGGGAGTAAACTATGATCAGAGAACTATTGAAACAGAAACTTAGCCCTCAAGTTGTGGTCTTTACCTGAGAAGTACCAGTGATCATGTTCTTGATGAAGTCCCTGTGTCCAGGAGCATCGATGATGGTCACGTAGTACTTGCCGGTCTCAAACTTCCACAGAGCGATGTCGATGGTGATTCCACGCTCACGCTCTGCCTTCAGCTTGTCCAGCACCCAGGCATATTTGAAAGAGCCCTTGCCCATCTAATGCACAGAACATTAGATTAATTAACACAATTAAAACTAAACGATTTCAGAAAGTCACAATTACACAAGAGGCTGAACTTGAAGTTTTAATACTAATGTCTAAAAAAAACACGTGATAACTTAGTTTTAAAGCCTTCTAAACGTTAAACACATTTGAATAAGCATGACTGGCCGTTATTGATCCAGGGCTGAGGCCCCGCCCCGTGCGCGCTCTCGCGACAGCCTCGTGCCAACAGCGCACTGTGCCGCCGCCGCCATTTTGAAAAGGGTTGAAACAATTCAGAAAAATCCTCACCTCCGCGGCCTCCTTCTCGAACTTCTCGATGGTTCTCTTGTCGATTCCACCGCATTTGTAGATCAGATGACCGGTGGAAGTGGACTTTCCGGAGTCGACATGGCCGATGACCACGATGTTAATGTGGATCTTTTCCTTTCCCATTGTGTTGGTTTCTGTACATTAAAAACAGCGCCATTAGTCCACACCCAGAGCAGGATATAATCTTAAAGTCACAGCTCTTTGTGCGTCGCACTAACCCCGGCCCACACATGCATTAATATACTGCTTTTCTAATAACCAGGACCATTAACAACATTATTCTTGGATATTTCATAAGAATAAAGTGTCCAAGAGCTCGAACGTCCACATCTCAGCCTGTGGAGAGCGGCAGCAGTAGGCCGCAGCCCCAGAAACACGTGTCCACAGGCCCCAGGATTAGGTTTCAGAGCCACACGTCCACAGGAGACAGAGACACAGGCCTCGGAGGACACACAGGAGACAGAGACACAGGCCTCGGAGGACACACAGGAGACAGAGACACAGGCCTCGGAGGACACACAGGAGACAGAGACACAGGCCTCGGAGGACACACAGGAGACAGAGACACAGGCCTCGGAGGACACACAGGAGACAGAGACACAGGCCTCGGAGGACACACAGGAGACAGAGACACAGGCCTCGGAGGACACACAGGAGACAGAGACACAGGCCTCGGAGGACACACAGGAGACAGAGACACAGGCCTCGGAGGACACACAGGAGACAGAGACACAGGCCTCGGAGGACACACAGGAGACAGAGACACAGGCCTCGGAGGACACACAGGAGACAGAGACACAGGCCTCGGAGGACACACAGGAGACAGAGACACAGGCCTCGGAGGACACACAGGAGACAGAGACACAGGCCTCGGAGGACACACAGGAGACAGAGACACAGGCCTCGGAGGACACACAGGAGACAGAGACACAGGCCTCGGAGGACACACAGGAGACAGAGACACAGGCCTCGGAGGACACACAGGAGACAGAGACACAGGCCTCGGACTGGAATGTCCTGCATCCCCAGAGTCTGGCCTCCATCCCCACGAACCCACAACCATCTGCTCCGAACTACAATGGTCTAACCCCAGACTCAGATCCACAGAACGATCCAGGGTTAGGGTTAACAGAACAAACCAGTTACGTAACGACTCACGACGAAGACAAACCTCAGACTTTTCACCGGTTCCAGGTTCGACTCGTGGACAAAGCGCCGCAGACGGAGACAAAGAGGAGACTTACCGGTGTTTCTGTGGGTTTCAAGGCCGATGCAGCTGCCCCTGTGCCAGGTAACAGAAAGAGGCAGATTAGGGGTGGATCTAGGGGTTTTATAGTGAATGGGAGGAGGTCTGCTGCCGACCCGCCTGTGCGTAAAACACGACAAATCAGACGCATTCCTGGGAAAACGTCATGACGTCATCACCGGACGAACTTCTCTCAGATGGAAGCGAACATTTCCTTCTCAAAGAAATGATGCACACCCAAAACTACTCTGCATCTATAAACCTTAGCCCGGCCACAGAGGAGAGAGTCCCGCTCCGCCACAGGAACAAATTATTTATTTTATTTTTTATTTACACATTTACACATTACAGTGCATCAACATGATACTAATCGTATTATTATCGATTCCAAAGCTATTTAATGAAACTAGATATTTATTTTAGTGACAATACAAAAATGAATAAGTAGTTACTTTTAAACTAATCATTTTAGTTCGAAATAATTGGCAAGGCATGTTTATTTGTATAGCACAGGCCTCACTCAGCCAATCAGCTCTCGGAGAATGCTAAAATATAAAAAGTGTTCTACCGAGATGAAGACCAGATGTTGTGGTTTGATTTGTTCTCAACATTTTACTGTTACAAGACTCTTTAAGTAGTAGTAGTACTTACTAGTACTTATGAAGGGGAAAGTAAAGTAATGTAGTCTGTTTGATCTCATACAGACTACAACACCACTGTTACACATCCTTTATGACTGGACCAGTGCTAATATTGCTTTGTCAAACATTATCTGGCCACATTTTCAACGTCTGCAGACGTTGTAATGGTCTGCAGTCACCAACCTGGCACCCAGCCCCCTCCTGGAGACCCCCACACCCTCCTCCTGGAGACCCCCACACCCTCCTCCTGGAGACCCCCACACCCTCCTTCTGGAGACCCCCACACCCTCCTCCTGGAGACCCCCACAGCACGAGCGTCTGACAAGATTATTTCCATCCATTTGTATTCTAAGTGGTTAAAGACAGTTTCAGCCACACCTCAGACTTATTTACATCTGAGTAAATCAGAGATGATGAAATCCCGGAGAAGAGGCTCGTACAAAGTACTGTCTGTACTTTAAGGTTTTCTCTCTTCAGAGACTCCTGACTTTATGAACACAGCGTGTGGTTATTTATCACTGAGTAGAATCCAGCTCCTCCATCTTTAACTAAGTTTAGTTAAATAAGAATTGTAACTGAGGCAAAACTACTTTCTACTTTCAGAATCAGAATAATGTTTATTATTATTAGTTTATTATCACAGGAAGTTAAAAAAGTCCCAACATTTCACATCACAAAGAATTGTTTATTATCATTTGCTTGAAAATGTTAAAACTGGTATTGTTCATACATATTATACATGTTACATAATTATACATATTATACATGTTACATAATTATACATATTATACATGTTATATCTCTCATCTTTCCTTGCGTCAGTTAAGGTTAAAACTTTGAAGGATGCTGTAAAATAAACATCTCCAGATTTCTGCTGCAGCATCTTTATGTCTCTGAGCCAACTTTAGGGACAGCTGCATCTCCAGCCACGACAACACACTTAGGTATGTGTACACACACACACACACACATACAGACACAGACACAGACACACACACACACACAGACACACACACACTCACACATACAGACTGACACACACACACAGACACAGACACACACACACACTCACATACTCACACACACACACAGACACACACTCACATACTCACATACTCACACACACACACACACACACACACACACACACACACAGACACAGACACACACACACACAGACACACACACTCACACATACAGACTGACACACACACACAGACACAGACACACACTCACATACTCACACACACACACACACACACACACACACACACACACAGACACAGACACAGACACACACACACACACACACACACACAGACACACACACACATACTCACATACACACACACACACACACACACACACACACACACAGACACACACACACACACACACACACAGACACACACACTCACACATACAGACTGACACACACACACAGACACAGACACACACACACACACACACACACTCACATACTCACACACACACACAGACACACACTCACATACTCACACACACATACAGACTGACACACACACACACACAGACACACACACTCACATACTCACACACACACACAGACACACACTCACATACTCACACACACACACACACACAGACACACACACACACAGACACACACACACACACACACACACACACACACACACACACACACACACACACACACACACACACACACACACACACACACACACAGACACACACACACACACACACACACACACAGTTAAAGGGACCCTGTAGCTGTTAATATCAGTCCAAACACATGGAGGAGGCCTGATGCTAACCGCTAACCGCTAAGCTAAAGAACAGGCTCATGCTTCTTAAAGCTCGGGCACCTAACTTTCCAAACCACAGCAAAAGGAACTGGTTTGATGGAAACCATCAAACCAGTTCCTTGCTCTCAGAACAGTTCGAACTCTCATTTTCCAAGCTTTTTCAGACAGAAAAGTGAAAACGAGAGGACCACCCTCTCTCAGCCAATCAGCTCTCAGAGTCCAATAGTGACTCAAAGGGCTTCTATTGCAATGAAGAGCATGTTGTGGTCTGATTTTTGACCTTTTACTTTTGAAAGACTCTGCACTGCCACCAGGTAAGGCAGGGTTATTTGTATGGCACACAGGACTTTATAAAACAAGACAAGTCCAATAACCACAGTCTTCATTCATTTGAAAATAATCATTCTTAAACCACCAGCAGGAGGCCGGTCCTGACTCTGGGACCAGCAGGAGGCCGGTCCTGACTCTGGGACCAGCAGGAGGCCGGTCCTGACTCTGGGACCAGCAGGAGGCCGGTCTGACTCTGGGACCAGCAGGAGGCCGGTCTGACTCTGGGACCAGCAGGAGGCCGGTCCTGACTCTGGGACCAGCAGGAGGCCGGTCCTGACTCTGGGACCAGCAGGAGGCCGGTCCTGACTCTGGGACCAGCAGGAGGCCGGTCCTGACTCTGGGACCAGCAGGAGGCCGGTCTGACTCTGGGACCAGCAGGAGGCCGGTCCTGACTCTGGGACCAGCAGGAGACCGGTCTGACTCTGGGACCAGCAGGAGGCCGGTCCTGACTCTGGGACCAGCAGGAGGCCGGTCTGACTCTGGGACCAGCAGGAGGCCGGTCTGACTCTGGGACCAGCAGGAGGCCGGTCCTGACTCTGGGACCAGCAGGAGACCGGTCTGACTCTGGGACCAGCAGGAGGCCGGTCTGACTCTGGGACCAGCAGGAGGCCGGTCTGACTCTGGGACCAGCAGGAGGCCGGTCTGACTCTGGGACCAGCAGGAGGCCGGTCTGACTCTGGGACCAGCAGGAGGCCGGTCTGACTCTGGGACCAGCAGGAGGCCGGTCTGACTCTGGGACCAGCAGGAGGCCGGTCCTGACTCTGGGACCAGCAGGAGGCCGGTCTGACTCTGGAACCAGCAGGAGGCCGGTCTGACTCTGGGACCAGCAGGAGGCCGGTCCTGACTCTGGGACCAGCAGGAGGCCGGTCCTGAC